GGCGATGATCCTCTGCCGATGGCCGAGCAGATTCACTTTCAACACCTGCAGGGAGAGACCACGGTCACTGTAGGCTTTCTTGCCCTTGGCACAAAGCAAAACTTTCTCTCTTCGAGCAGCGTTGTTCCCATTTAACACGACTCCCTGCAAGTCACAGCCTTGTGAGCCTGGAGAGAACGTGGGCAGGACCTCACTGCCGTGGCAAGAGAAAGGCAATACTCACGTTTACTATTTCAAGCTCCCAGAGGTTCTTCACAGTGTCAATAGAGCTGTAGCCACTCGAGAGGAAGGACTGAATGTAATCCTGCAGCCCCAAAGAGTCGAGCCATGCGGGAACTGAAGGCTGGCTGTTCCCATCACAGCCCAGGGGTTTCAACTGTAAAACCACAAGAAGGGGGTTAAAAGCCCCAGGGGGCTGGGATCCCAAGGCATACAGCATCAATTCAAATTAAAAACCATCATCATCTCCACTAGCAGCTTTAAAGTAACAAAAATTACTGTATAAGCAAGGAATGCACTTGGGATCAAGACTGGCAGGAGGGACAGCCACCCTCTCCCCAGTATGGAGTCACCCCATCCACATAGCTTGGCAGACCAATATACTCCTTTGCCTCTCTGCTATTCCCAAACCCTTTCCCACAGCCCCTGCGATCCCTCCATGAGTCACAGGGATGTGGCTGGAGTCACAGGGGACGGCTTTTGTTTCCTCTGCTTTCACAGCCGTGCTGGGCAATGCCCTGTCCCTGCTTCACGTGAGGGGTGTCAGTGCTGACCTTCGGGAGGGAGCGAGCGGCCTGGAGGAGCTTCCGACGGTGCTGTGGGTCACCGATCCCGATGTCCCGAAGGTCCTGGTCTTCCATGACATTACAGCCCTGCGGGGACAGGAAGGAGCGACATGGGAGCAGAGGGCAACAGAAGCCACATCAGGTGCAGGAGTGGAGAACATGCACATTACAGCACCCTCCTGACCTCACCTCCCAGCACATCCCCACAGCAGGAGGAAGAGGAGGAGGAAGGCTCCCAAGGATGGCAGCTCTGCCCCATGTACCTAACTCGGGCACCAAGAGAGCTGACATGAGAGGGGCTGCGGCACAGACAGCATCGGTGGGGGAGAGCACCACCATCCCCTCCCTCCCGCAGCCTGCTCTGCAGCATCCTCGTTAGATTTCAGGCCATCGCTTACAGCAACCTTCCTGTTCGATGCACAGATGCTTTAATCACTGCATAACAACGCCCAAGTAAACCCCAGTCCCCCTCCATGCATGATGCCTGAGAAGGGGCACTTGGCTCTGCTCAGCCTCTCTCCACGGCCACAGAGAAATCCGAATTTCTTTCTGTGAGATCAGGCAACCTAGTGAAGGTCAGATTTATCCTCCGTCCCCTGGGCAGGGAGACAGCCCATCCCGATCTGGCAGAGATGCTCTAGTCGCCACACACCGCTCTGTTAAAGCCCATTTTCTGCCCCTCTTCCCCCTGCCGAGCAAGAGCGGACGCATGCAGAGCACGCTGACTTTAGACCCCTCTTAAGAGCCTCTATCGCAACCTGCTTCCCTGCCCCTCGTACCTGGGGAGAGCTCAGCGGGAAGCCCGGGCACGTCTCCCCATGGCTGGAAGAACCACGCTCCTGTTTGACCGAGGGCTTCAGCTCGAGCCCGGACCCCCCCTCCCCGTCCTGCCTCCCTCTGCTCTCAGGAGAGTCACAGCTGAAGGTCTGAGCTGACAGCGTTTTGCTGTTCCACATTTTGGTTTTGTAAGAGAAACCTAATTAAAATTGGCTGCCGGGCAATACGCTGCTGCAGGGGCACGCAGGCTGCGGGAACAGCGGGCTGAACGGCCAGGGCTTCAGGAGGGGAAGATCGCCAAATATCCTCTATAAAGGGCAGCAAATGTTTTATATTCCTTTGCACCCCACACTTTCTGTAGTATTTCAGCACATATGTTTTGCTAAGTACTACCTGCTTTAAATACAACAGCTAAATGCATTTGGCAATGGCTTTACGAGAGTCACCGGGTGCATTTCATGGAGCCAGATGCCAGTCCTGCGGCCAAACACTGGCTGGCTCGCTCCCGGCAATGCCAGCGTCCACTTCGCTCCTGCCTTGCTTGGTTTGTGCCTGGTCTATGACAGCACCAAGCCTGGGCAGCATCGCTCCCACCACTTCCATGGCCTGGTGTGATAACTGCTGGGTAGGATACCATGCGGCTCTGCTCCCCA